AGGAGCCCACCAAGGTTCAGGTGCTTAAAGCCCTCTGTTTTACAGGGCAAGAGCATACATTTCCTCATCACGCATCAATAGAGACTAATAAATATCACAAAGTCACATATAGAGACATGAGGGAAGAGGGAGACTGGGAGGCAGAGGCACGTTAACAGGTGTCAAGAACATCATCTTTGCATCCAGAAAACCGAGGTACATCCTAGAGTGACATTGTCCTCCAAGGCCATTGCTACCACATAGGGACACTGATAATGGGCAAGAAAAACAGCTACTTTGCAGTCTACCTCCAGGAAAAGGCAGCCTGCCTGCTCGGTCTGGGGCAGCCAGGTGGGTGTTATGAATGTTTTGCAACCTCCACCGGCATTAGGTGGAGCCCCCATAGCTCCCTGCCCAGCACGCACCCCCAAGCGCAGACACGGGGGCTTTACAGCTCAACTTAAGCACTTTTGAGAGCACGACCACTTCAGCAGCATGCGGAAGAGAAGAGCTGCCACTGAAGTGCCACCTTCAGATGACAAGGAACGTGAGCCCAGCACCAGAGACCGGCACGGCCCCAGGGATTGCAGGTGGGGAACAAGGCACACACTTAACACAGCGCAAGCAAGCCAATAGCTCATCCTCACCCCCCTGCTCTCAAGCCCACAAACCCAGATAACTTGTACAACCGCAAAATCATCACCTTGCTAAACCAGCACGGAAGACCAAAATCTCAGTCTGCTGGTGAGCTCAGGCGTGTCCGCTCAGAGCGCAGCTCCCACCAGCGAGCAGCAAAGCTTTCCGCTGCTTCCGAGCCTCACTGCAGCTCAGGAAACCCTCAGCAAAGAGCCCCCACCTACCCCAGCTCCAGCAAGGCAGCAACCCCTCCAGGTGCAGCAGCTTTATAGGAGCTGTTGGCCCCGAAGAAGGTTCAACAGGGACCAGTTTCCTAGTGGGGAAGTAAACATTGCTCGCTCTGAGGTGTTTGGTGTTTTTAACCAGTTTGGGATGGAAGGAGTTTGACTCTCCAGCTCCCTATGAGAAGGTGGAAGGAAACCATGGGAGTGTCTTGAGGTTTGTTGTCTAACTCAATTAACCAATTACTTCCAGGTCAAGAAGGGGCAAAGCTATAAATGCTGCTTGCTGCTATAAATAATGTTTGCTCAAGGGTGGTGCAGGAGCAGGAAGTGTTAGGTGTGGGGTTGTAACTTGAGCTTGAAATGAAAGCAAATATCACAAATTGCTTCCTGCTTCGAGCAAACCTGCCGCTATTTTGCTGTTGTGAACCAGTGCACAGAGCTGGCTCTTGCCTTGGGAAAGGCGTGGAGGAATTCACGCTGAAGAATGAATACGCAAACGTCCCTCCGGTGCTGCGAGACTCCCCTCCGAACACCGCTGACTGTCCTGGTGCAGGACCTGCTGTGGAGAGCTGGGCCAGCGGGATGCGTCTGCCTTTAAAACACCGTTATTAGACCAAAATGCCCATTTATGTAAAAAGGCGGGGGGAAGCCTCAGAGAAATTGGTGTGAATTTCTCAGAGCTCAAACAAGAACAGACAAGTCAGCTGGTGCAGATCAAGGCAGGAATTTTCCACTGGGACTTAGGGAATTGGGCTCTGGTGAAAAGGGAAAGGGAGCGGAGAGTGGGTGGTGGGAGGGCAGCGTGCCCCCTTAGAGGGGCCCGGGCTGGCTGCGGCGCAGGCACAGGGAGCGCAGCGTGGCCACAGGGTGCTCCAGCTGCTGGGATGGACAGACAGACACCCGCAGACCTTTGCCTGCGGGGTGACTCCGTGTCCGCTCTGCTAGTGGCACCACGTGAGGTTTTCCTAGGGCACAAAGCAGAGGAACGTCACCTCACCCGGGACCTCAGCTCCTCCAAGAGCAGAACCCATGTCATGGAGGGGATTAATTGGTGTTAAGGGACAGGTTCTTCCCAAGAGGCAGATTAGCCCACCAAAGAACTAACGAGTCCCTGGAACCGTGTGAAACAGAGTGATGCCAGCCGGGCATCTCACCCCAAACTGTGGTGCCTGTGGCCGGCCGGGCTGCACGGGGTGGGGGGCTGCTGCTGGGCTGGCCCCGAAAGGGCTCGTGGAGACCCATCAGCAGAGAGATCAGGGGGTGCCGGAGCTCGGTGACCGCAGGTGTCACGGGCACTGCGTTCCCCTCCCACCCCAGCAGATCCTGCTCGGAGCTTGGGCACAAACCCTGTGGGTGCTGGGGGTGGCGGGTGGGAAGCCCACCTCACCGTCGAGTTGAGTCCCACCGAGCAGCGCTGCTTTTGCCTCCTAATCTGGACTTCGCCGTTTGCTTACGGGGAACATCCCTGGCGCAGAGCAGTGACAGCTGAGCCCCGGGCCCCAGCTCCCCCCGAGCTGCCCTACAATTCCCTTCCAAGCAGGGGGACACGGCCCTTTCTGTCCCCGCTGTCCCTCCGGCTGCGGGCGCCGCTTCTCCCAGCGGATGAGAAGCCGTGCAAACCCGTCACCCCGTCGAACCGCCTCTCCCCTCCGCTCGCTCAGGAACAGCTGCCGGAGTGAATCATTTCAGCATCCTCAAAGCGTGGAGGACTCTGCCAAGCTTCGTGTGACTTCTGGCTGTCACTCCGCTCCATCTGTGTTTCTCCCTGGCCATTTTAAATCCCGCAGCTTTTCCTGCGGTCCCCGATGACCTCCTCGCGTGAGCAGCTGGGTGCTCTCGCCACAGAGGTGCAGAGCTGACGCCGGCGGCTCTTGGGCCGCCTTGGGCGTTTTCGCCGTTGCCGTCCCACCCACGTACGCAGACTCAGGAGTCGGTTTGCCGTCCTGTTCCCTCTCTGCCAGCCTGTGAATCAGGGACCTTTTGCGGAGAGGGAACAGCAGGATCCAGCGAAGTTGACAGAACGTGCTGGCCACCAGCAGCCCTTCGGGGGAGAGCAGGTCCCCCGTTTCTTGCTCCTGCTAGGAGATCTCCTCTCCGTTGCTGCCACGTAGCCCGCGTGGCGCATGCCAAGGCAGGCTTTATCCTAGAGCTCTCCTTGATACCACTCCAGGCACCCGACACAGCACCAGCGGAGACAGTAAAAGCCCTTTGCTCTTCATCGGGGAGGGGGTGTGCGTTTCTTTCGTGATTTAAAAATAAATAAAATGTCTATTTTAAGGATTTTAATCATAGCAGGAGCTTGGCCAATCTCAGCTGTCCAGTGCTTGGGGGGAGTTTTATGCTGCTGCAACCTTCTGCTGTGGCGACACTGAGTCATCAGCCACGACGCTGACCTGTTCTTTGAGTCACAGATGTCAAAATTTGACCGCGGGCTGGAGAGGCCTGAGCGCCACTGCTTTTTCCAGGCACTTGGGTGTCCGGATGGGGGGTAAGGAAGAGCCACGGCCCGGCCTTCGCTGGGACTTTTCCCTTCACCACGAGCGGGCTCAAGCCGCAACAGCGTGGTCCCGCCGCAGGGAAGTCTCGCGCCCAGCAGGAGCCTGGGGGAGCCCGGTGGATCAGCGGCAGCAGTGAATAAACACCCAGGTGGACACTCTAGGTTGCTTTGCCGCCTGGGATGCTTTTAGGAGAAGCTGGAGGGGACTCAAGGACTGGGGGTAATTTGGTTTAACGCAAAAGTATTCAACAGCCCTTGCTTTTGCCGCGCAAGCTGCCCCACCGAACTCCCCCCCAGCCCAAACACGACAAAGAGCTCTTTTGGACAGCTTTGCCTTCGAGTTAAAAAGTAGGCGGCTTCAAAAAGAGTAAGTCGCATGTTTTGTTGTTCTCCCCCTGCCATCTCCTCCCTCCACTATGAGTCGACTACACAAACAAAAATACTGCACGCCGTTTTAATTTTCAATCACGTTTTTTGAAAATGAATTCCAAGATACAGTACAGCATCTTAGTGTTCTACACAAAGCAAGCTTTCAGCAAAAGGTCAGAGCATCTTAGGTGGTGTAAAAATATATCTTAAATAAAATAGTTTCTATAGGAGAGCAAGCGGTGTTGTACATCTCTAGGTCCTTAGAATAATTTACAGAAGGCAGAGGCCTGGTTGTACAATCCACACACTAGAAAAGAGTTAGTGTACATTCATGCTACAAAGTTAGAAAAGGTAGAAGTTCCAGACGATTGGGGCAGATCTCCAAACCCAAGCAGGGGATGCAATGAGTGCACGAACAAGCGCCCGGTATTTCCAAGTGAGGAAGTTCCACACTTCCAGTCCATACAGTCAGGAAGCAAAGGGTAAGGACTCGCCTTCCGAGAGTCACTCTCTTTACCGTAACTCATTCCTTTCAGTTGGCCCAAAAGAACAACTTCTAGCAATAAAGGACGAGCTGGTTTATTTCTTTGTCCTAGTTTGGCGCTGGTAAGTCAGAGCTGCATTTTCAGTGGTACAGACTAAGATCAAGGCTGTTCCTGCAGTTTGAGCAGCGGCAAAGGATCACGCTGTGGTCTGAAAAGACAACTGCGGGACTCCCCCAGCCATTTTTAACGAAGGATTAGCCTTTAAACGCTCAGATTGCCGAGCACAACACAGCAACCAGGACTGTCGCTTCTCCAGCCAGGGTAAAACTCTTCCCACCCCAGAGCATCAAGCCTGGTATATATTCTAAGTGAAAACCAACAAAAAACCAAAACCCCCAGATTTGTCCTTTACGGGATCTGCATACCTTTGGGGCAAAGAACACCAAAGTTTTGCCAGCCGAGATTTTGGACAGGGCCGGGTTTCAGAGCAGAACAGGCAGCGCTAAGTGATCACGGTAACCGGATACAACAGCTGCATCTAGCGGCAAGGGTCCAGTCGCAGGGCAGCGCGCTCGGCTCCGCGGCAGCCCCGTGGGCGGGGGACTGCGAGGGCTGGGTACGAGCAGGGAGGAAGAGAGGTTTTTCAATGCTACGCGAGTCGTTCTCCTCACCTTGTTTCGAGGATTGCAGCGCTGGAACTCACGCCAACACACCCCTAGCGCGGCTCGTGGAGGGGACGCGCGCGCACCCCGCTCCAGGAGGATCGGAACGCGGTGGCAGGTGTTAATACGTAACGTGTACCAGTCTTTGCAAAGACAGCTCTATTTAATTGTAGAAACGCCTGTAAAATAACCACGTTAAACAGCTTCCAGAATATAAAAAAAAAAAAACCAACTTTCACGCTTTCTGCCCCAAAGGCACCGAGCACTGGCCTTTCAAAGGCCATCTTTAAAATGAAGAAACAGATAGTAGCAAAGTCCCTTAAAGCGTTTAATGTCCTAGATTACAAGCCTTCCGGACTCGTTCAGTTTCTTACACCACTAAGATGGTTTATTTTGCACACCTCACTCCTTTTTATTTCCAAACTACAGTTCTACTCCTGCACTAGCAGTTCTGCAGTGTCAGGACTGCATGTGCTAAAAGGAGATGTATATAATCTAATTTACACTGTTTATTAAATAAAATCCTTTCTTAATTGAGAATACTTTTAATCCAGGAGAACTGGAGAAGCCTTACACGCTGGGCCAAGCCTACTCTACAGCATCCCCTTGGGGAATGCGATGTTTAACACGTACACACCCACCCACCCCAAAACCGTACGCTCTCCCAGGAGAAAGTCAAATGCGCGATAGGAGGGGCTTTGGAAAGGTAGGAAGGCAAAATGGTCATCAAGATCTGCCTACAAATAGCTAAATAGTGCAGTGAAATGCTTTTAAATACCACAGACACCTCCATTGACTGGCAGCCAGTTTTATGAGCAGCTCTGAAGACAATTTCTAGCTGAGCTTTAGTGAACTGGGCGTTCCCAGCCGGAGTCCCGAGAGTTGAGGCCTACCACCAGCACGGCCAGTTCCAGGACGGGAGCAGGGCGCTCCGATTCTCACTTGCCCCTCTTGCCACGGCCTCTCCTGGAAGAAGGTTTGCCCGTGCCCCCTGTGGAGGAGCTGGCAGAAGATGCCACTGCAATGTTGATCTGTCCTTCCTGAATCTCCTGTCGGGTCTCAGCTGGGAGGTGATTGATTTTCTGTTGCGTCTCTAAGTAGAACATGACATCCCGCAACTGCTCCTGGATCTCAGAGATCTGCAGGTCCTTCTGTTCGCAGGTTTCCTTTAACGCTCTCTCCTCCTCCTTTAGTTTGTTCTGAAGCAAGGCTTGATTCGCTCGCAAACACTTATTCAGTTCTTGCTCCTCCTTCAGCTCGTTGGAAAGCTTAGCCACTTTGTTATTCAGCTGAGAACACCTTACAAAGAGAAGCGCGAGTCAGGAAAGCAGTGCACCATACCAAGATCAAACACCACTGCATCCTTTTGATTTCCAGTCCCTTAGGGCAACTGACTCCCAGCCATCCCCAGCCCCACCAAGACCACCTGGAACTTGGTTTTCTGGCACAAGATGGGCAAGGGGAGGTAACCCAAGAGGACTCTGAAATCCCCCCAGGATTTTCTACCCAGCTTGAGGGTTGCTAGCACCTGCTCGTCTGTGTGGTGTTACCTGCATACGGAATAGGATGTTGTGAAGCAGAATCCCTTCCTTCGTCCCTCCCACCGCACAACCCAGGAGAATCCCTTCCCTTGCAAGTTAGGCAATTCCATCTGGTACCAAAGGCCAACAGAGGTGACAGACAGGGTGCGCATGGGAGCATGGGACTGTAACCTTCAACAGGCATCTGCAACTTACGGAACAGGCGCCGAAAAGGGCCCCGAGATTCCGGGGGGTCCTTAGAGAGCTAAGGACGATCAGGGACCTCCAGAGGCTGGCTCCCACCACACTCCAAGTACAAGACCCTGAAAATACCACTTCACTCAGATGCCAGATGCTCCCCCAAGGATATCAGTAGCCTCACGTTTCACAGACAGTGCTTCCCTGCTCCTAACAACTCAGTGCTTTTGCCCTGAAAGTTTTGCTGGCACCATACACAGGCTCCTTTCCACTCACCAAGGCGAGCTGTGCGAACCACAGCTCCCTAGCCTGGGTCTCCTGCTCCACCAGGACTGCTGGAGAGCCTGGTGGGCTAGGAGGAACAGCACACGCAGTCCCACCTAGGGAGCGGGAACAGACTGATCTGCGCAGTCCCCACGCTTGACGTCTTTCATCTAGGCATTTCCCAAGATCTACGTTTCCCTCCGTGCTGGGTGAGTTGCCTCTGTTGAGCTGCCTTTCTTCTTTTTGGATGTACCCGCCAATTGTGAAACAGGCTGGCGTCTCCCTCTGAGCAGGCAGAGGAAGGATTACTGAATGCTAAATATGCAGACCATGTAAAAAGAGCCAAGAGCCCAAAAGCTGTGTTCCAGTCAACAGGCACTTTCAATTTGTGAACACCTACAGAAACGAGAGCTTTTTTTAAAATAAGCTGTGTTCTCAGTATATCGTTCTAAATAGCTCAAAATTGCCCAGGAACAACAAGATTTTTTTTCATTTTGGATGTCAGTGCGCGGAGTTTTAATGGCTGCATGGGACTAAAGCTGGCAGCGGTACCCACTTCCTTTCGACAGACTGCTTTTCTTTGAGCAAGTCATTCAGCCTCTGTTCCAGACTGTCACACTTCTCAATGGTCTCTTTAAATTTGGTCTTCATGTTGTTAATCTGTAAAAACAAACACACAGGCATTTCAAAGAGATCAAAGTCCTGTGCGCTTCCATTATGACATTCATTTTTCTGGAGCGGTTTCCAGACTTTGACCAATTACTATATCCAGGTAAGCAAAAGCTTTGAGACGAGAAAAGGCCTAATTTTGATGAAGACCCTCTGCATTTACAGTTCGCGGTACCCCAACGAGGAACCACGTTGCCGTGGAAGCTGCTCACACAGAACAGCAACTCAGGCTGCAAATCTGTGCCAGGCACCCCATTCAAACAAAAGCTGCATCAGATCCTTAACTTCTTATTGACTGCAGTTAAGCACTCATTTAGCCATTCTCTCAGACTTTTTTCTGTCTGTCAGCAAACTTCAGTTTCCATCTTCAGGCTTTACAATGTCGAGCTTTTGCTCCTTTTAAATTAAACCTCAAATAAGTATGGTCAAAATCTGAAAATTAACACGCTACTTTGCTCAGCACTGACTCAGCAGCTTGCTGTCATAAGGCAGTGACCTACTGACACGAATATCTTACTCATGCAAAACGCAAACAGAAACACACGTACGTCGGCTTCCTCTTCCCCTCTGCTTCACAACTCGAGGCTGCTACTGCTGAAGAAAACCAAGCTCTCATTCTCTAGGCACTGCACAGAACATGTCAAAACCTCTAACATAAGGCTTACAGGAGATTTATAGACAGAAATACTTGTTTCCCCTATATTAGAGTCAAAAGCATGCTTGCATGTAGTGGAGACAGGAATTTACAGGAAAAATGCTTTCCTGGAGGAGCAATCTGGATAACCGTCAGTGTCAGCACACACGGTGCCTTCACTGATGCCAGAGTCAATGCAGAGCAGGTTTTAAGCCTTCCGGCCTTAATCACTGACTGTTTATGCAGCTGATGGTTAATTTGGGGAAGTAGCCTGAGCACTGATTATGGAATACACTGCATAGTGGCACTGATCCAGACAAGGCTTACATGGAGCAAGGGCCATGAATAAAACCATAAGGATCTTTAAACATGAAACCGCATTTGGGGCATATATCATAGTCGTTTGACTTTGAAGTTGCTTTGTGGATTGTGTTCCCTGGTCACGTGCAAGATGATTTTCGCTGTATCTTTTCCTTTTATAGAGCCCTCCATAAGATTTCTGGGACTGTTCTTTAGACCAAGGTCAATGACCGCTATTTTGACAGTCATAATTTCTACATTTACGATGCTTCTTAACTGCAGATATGAAATGGTTAATTAGAAGTCATGCAGAAAGTTCAGTTAAGGACTCAACCCTAAATCCTGACTCACTTTAAACCTAGTTGAAAGGATCTAGTGAAAAGCATTAAAATATTCTCACTGGATTTTTGCTCATGACATTTTGAAGCAGTCCTGCCTACGGAATGCTTTATAGGACGAGACTCTGAACTTTTCCCAAAGGGTGATGAGGAGAGACAGGGGATCAAAAAGAAAGGGCAAATCAATATGCATTTGGAGCAGAAAGACTGCTACCACTTTCTGCAGCCGAGCAAATTAAAGTCATGTTGTCTATGCTACACTAACCTTCCCTAGAGATACACATCAGTGCGAGACGGATGGCATCGGCAAGCAGGGATCCTGCAGCAGCACGGACTTGTTTTCACCACTGCTGCAGTTTCCTGAGCAGCACATTTAAATCAACCTTCAATCTCGGTGGCAATCTACCTACTTCTGCACCACTGAGCAGCAAATTGCTAGATCTGAGCATCGAGATAAGGGATAGGTCTTGGAGCCAATTTTCTCAGCTGGTAGTGAAACAGGCTATGGGAGGCCACGTCACGCGATGTTCAGGCTGTACAAGAGACTGAACAGCTCCGTCTCCCATTTAACTGAACAGCGACCAGCGGCCTGTTTCAGCAGAGTTTCGCACATGCCCAGAGCAGAGCTCACCTCTTCAGCTGTATCCTTTTCTATTCGGACAATCTTGTTTTCCCAATAGATTCGCTGCGATTCCAGCTGGCTTGTTAGCAAATATGAGTACTATAAACACAGAAGATATACACAGAACAGTCAGCTTTTACGTAAGGGTGGCTATGCTGATTAAGAAGCCCAAAGGGCTCCAATATACAAATCAATTTAATCAGATGAAATTGAGCATACAGGACATTCTGAACATACATGCAAACTGCAGATCCAGCAGATGTGTTTCACCAATTTGATTTCAAAATCAAATCACTTGGTTTTCTGAAGTCAAGGAAAGCCTTTAGAGAACAACAGCAAGAATCAAGTAAAAGTTCCGCCAAGCCGTACCCAGTATCATGCCAAGGACTTTTTAACGAGGAGACAGATTTTTCATGGCAGTAGCAATAAATCTCTACAAGATTTACACTCCACAGGAAAATGAAGCATCGACCATCCCTGTCACGAGCGTCTGGAGATCCCAAAGGCTGAGTTGCCGAGTTCCCCATTCACAGCCCAAAACCCAAGGCAGAAGGGTAAGCGCGCATATCTAGCTTCACTGTAAGAACGTCTCTGGGAAAGCATCCTCAGCTGTGTATAACTATTCACAATTATTGTTCTCCAACAAGTAAGGCCCATTCCAACGTTATTTCGGCATCTGAACAAGGATATATGCCTTACATCCCATCTTTTCCCTCCTGGTTCTGCAAATGAGTTATGAGAAGGTTGGAAAACGTGATCATTTCTTAACTTCAGGCTAATAAGCACCAAATTAGGCATTCGCTTCAGAATTAAACATGTGCAAAAAGCCTGGAACACTCTCAGTAATATCAGAGCGCCAAAATACACTGCCAAATTCATTCTCTCGAGAAACATTTAGATCTGATAAGCTAGACAGAGAGGCCTTACATACTTTAAGCACCCATGTCCCAGAAAAAAGGGTTAAAAATAGCTGGTTTGGCATCTAAGCCCTTACTGAGAAAATTAATGGAAAAGCAACCAAGTATCTGTTTGAGCAATAAGCTTACGAAGTCTGGTCTCTATGGGCTGTTCCTCCTCAGATACCCTTGTGTCTAATGCGGCTGAAGTCATGCTGCAGTATATCTGCTCAGTGGAGCAGTAATTTTGAGTTTCTCTCCTTTACCCTTCTAGTTAGGATAGGAGAAGCTGGCCAACAGGTACAAAATAATCATTATCTCTTCAAGGGAAGGGAGGAGAACAGGGCTGGTCTCAGACGAGCCTGTCAGCTTTCCTTGACAGCCAAGGTAAGCACACAGCTATGGATTCCTACATACTTGCCCCGTTTACAAGCTAAACTGCTCGAATTGACAGTTCCTTACACATCCTGGCTCTTAAGCCAAGTCACAGATCCACTAGGAAGGGGCTGGTGAGCGAGTCTGGGCATTCGGACCCATTTCTCTCTCCAATGACCTGAGTGCTTGTAGCAGCGTAACCAGCTAATCCTCAGTCTACCGGTGAACACAGGATGAAACTGCAGCCAGCTTACACTTAGCTGCATTGGCTCTGCAGAGCCAAGCAGAGTTGTGGTGGTTTTTTGTTTTTTTTTAAAAAAAAGGGCAGAAAAAACATCCTGCTTCTGCCTGAAGATGATTGCCTACAGGCAGGGAGCAGGTCTGCTGTATAAGATGATGTAATTTTCCTGTAGTCGTATCTGGATTTGAAACAATTCCACACAGCAGCACAATGCAGAGTCCAATAAGCCAAAATATTTACCTCTAATTGTAAGGCATCAATTTTCTCTTCCTGACACATATCTCCCTCGCACTCATACTGAACTATCTTCCCATCAGTTTTACTTGCAACCAGTCGATGGACGTAGTTATCTGAAGAGAGAAAATTCAACCACAGGGAGTTTTAGCTTAAGAACACCCAGGTTGACACCAGTGGAAATACTTTATGCAGCATAATTAACCATGCAGACTGCTGCAACAGCGTATTAGCAAGGCAGAAAGCCAACAACAGATGTATTTGTTATTTAGCAGACTTCGCACAGACACCTTACAGGATATTTATTACAACAGCCCATTCCCAACCTCAGGGCAAATTGATGGAAAGGGAGTAACAAACACATTCCACAGAGACTACAGGACTGCCCCCGTTCATTACAGAATCATGTTCTCCCTCCTCCATCTGCCACAGACCCACGAAAACTGCTATTAGAGAGGAGACAGATGTTCCCAAAAGGCAAGGGATTAGTACAGATGCAAACCCCTTAATCTCCAAGCAAACTCTATCACAAGTACTCTTACTAAGGGGTCCCAAAAGCCGTTTTACAAACAAGGTCATCCTGCAAGAGGGGAAGACAGAGCGCTTACCTCCAGCATAGTCCCAGACTCTGTGGTTGGTCAACTGCATTGCGTAGGTGTGCTGGGTCTCCTCGAAGTGTTTGTAAGCGTGTCGACTCACGTACCGGCCACAGCCTATGTGCCCACATATTAAGCAGATCCAAAGGTTCTGTCAACAGAATGAGAAAGCTCTGTACATACAACCCCGTCAAGCAGCCCTTTGAGAAAGTGTGATCGGACACCGATGGCCCGCTGATGCTGTGTACATCCAGTCACTTCCTTAGAAAGCGAACAGCGTTTGCTTTTCCCCCTCCTTCTTTGAAGCCCTGCTCAGCTGGAAGGCTAAAGAGAAGGAGGTACCTCTCATTCAAGCCAATTACAAGCCTGCAGGTGCTGGGTACATTGATAGATTATCACAAGCATGGATGGAAGAATGGCCTTGGCTAAGGAACGAGGCACCTCAGCAGGACGACAAAAGCAAGCTCTGAAGAACACAGACTAGAAGGGATCACCAAGTTCAATGTTAGTTTAGCTGCCTCCTATCATACTCATCTTATCACGCACACTCTGATCAGCTTACGTGCTAATACTTCTAAGAATCAGAAACATTTGTCAGAACAGGAAACCTGGGAGGTAAGATCCCTTCCCAGTACTGATTCCAACTCAAAAGGAAAGCAGATATACCACTGACTGGTAAAATCAGCCACAGCATTAACCCCAAAAGCAACTAGAGCAGCTGTGCAGTCAGATCTAGTCTAGATCTCACTCACCATCCACCCACCTACTTACTTCTTGAACTCCACACTCAAAGCACTTGTTCTCTTCCACTGGCTCAGGCGTTTGGCAGTATCTGCAGACAGGACACCTAGAGGGCAATAAGCATCATGATTAGACACAAGGAGCTCCATCTTAATATTACGGTAATTAAAAAAGAGAGCCAGAGAGCTCAAAGTAAATGCCTTATGCAGTGGGACGCTCCTTATGTGCGTGCATCTCTCAGCTCGCATTTACCCCACTCAAATTTGCCTCCATTCCACACAAGGCTACTGTTTTTAAAGCCAGTAAGTGACAGAATAACAAAGAACAGTTCTTCTGAAGCCATTTCACAGTCTCAGCTTGATCGCGTTTTGCTGCAGTCCAGGTGTAGAGAACAACTGCAACCAAAAGCCTCGGTGGGGCTGCCAGCAACCTCAGCCTCTGCCAGTAAGCAAAAAAGCCACAACCGAGCTCAAGAAACACTTCCCTGCCTCAGCCATAAACACTGCAAGAAGCACTTGTATAGATGCGTTACATATCTCTAAACACTGCTCCTCCGGACTGCTGCCAACTGATGTCTTCAGTTCTCCATTACCTGCAGGGTTTTATGCAGCAGCTACACACTGTTGTGGAAGGATGCTGTAACTACACATTGCTGAGGACAGCGAGTAACAGAGGGAGGTACTACACTTTGCAAACATACTTTAGTACTTAAAACAACCCTAAGGAGATGAGGAGATGCTTCAATTTCACCCCAACCCAATGGATTCAGTCTCAGCCCTTCCAGGAAGAATATCCCATAACTGTACCCTAAAAGAATCAGTAGCAGGCACCCCACTATCATTTCTTTTGAAACTATACCACCGTGCTGCCAGAAAGACAGAAGACCCAAGACCAGAAGGAACCTCTGTCCAGAGCCTAAGCACCAGAAGCTCAGCTAGGGAGCCGGGTAACTGAGGCTGTGCATCCTGTTGCCAGGATTGTTTATGCATTTTTCGTTAACTGCTGGATAAGCTACAGAAATATTCAAGGGAGGAGACAATTGGATTGCAGTCAGCTTTCTATACAAATTCAGGCACTTACAGCCTCCGTGGCGCCTAAGCAAAGTGGACAGGGATTTTCTTTTATTGTTCTTCTAGGCTGGGAGAATAAGTTCTGCTTAAATTGTGTATTAGATATTTAAGTGCTATTTTGGATCTTGCTCCTACACTGGCTAAGCTCCACTGCTTCAAATTTAAACTGGTTTGGATTTGTGGAGCAAAGCAGCCCGTAAACTTGAATAGCTACAAATCTGATTAATCTTACTGAGGTTCTGTTACTTTGGCTTACAAATGATGTACAGAGGGCTAAAATTTTCCTCACGCTCCACCAGAGAATCAGGCAATCAGGGTTACCAGTGACAGAGAAGAAAACACAGTGACGACTGGCAGCCTTCTGCTGCAGTTATCTATGACGGCCTGATGTGCAGTAAAACAGCAAACAGCGTCCAGAAGAACGCAAAATACGCACAACTGATAGCAGCACCTGGGTGCCAGTCGGGGGCTCTGCAGTCAGGAGCTCAGACACACCAAAATCCCCGTCTACAGGGATGTGAAGGATGGTAAGAGCAAGGACAGGGAAGGGTTAGCAGTAGTGAAAAGAAGAGCTGCTTTAAGGACAGGCGCAGGTCTGACCCCCAGCCCTGCCCAGTGCCACGGAGGGTCTCCCTGAGCCAGTGACATGGCCTCCCATCGCTCAGCCCACACCCACCTGGAATAATACAGCCTGTCTAGAGCAGCTGCCTTCCCTTCCCGATTTACTGGGCGATATTGTCATCGTCCCTTCCTTCCACCACCTCCCTTCTGTCTCACTTTCCAGTCCTGTCCCCCTGTCCACCTGCTCTTGCCCAACCCTTCTTCATCCTCTCCCAGCATCTAAGTCAGATGCTGCCCTGCAGGGCTCCCGAAAGGACTCCCAAGCCCCAGCCAGATGTGCAGACCTGTCTACAGCGCAGCCTCAGCTATGCCGAGGAAACGAATGACTGAACAGACACCCAAGACTGAGCAAAACAGGGCTGTGTGTGCATCCAATGCTGTTTACCCCGGTATTTTTATCCTAATGTATTTTAAAATAATCAGCATTACTCTACAACCCCTGTCCTGCCTTAGCAGTGAGGCCCACGGGCAACACTCTTCGATTAGTTTTGGTGGGGAGATTTCTCTCTGGGAGTCTCTTCATGGGAAAAAAAGAGCATTAGAACTTGCAGTAATTCCTGCCCCCACACTCAGATGAGGAAAACCAGGTTTGTTAGCACGTAACCACCACACTCGGAGTTTTAGATGTGGAAATACAGAAAAGCCTCTTACGTGGTGTCCTCCCACCGCTGCAGACACTGGCTATGAAAGCTGTGGTTACACAGCGTGGTAAGGATCCCGTTCACGGACTCATCCATCCTCTCCAGGCACACTGTGCACTTCGGGAGCTCTGTCAGATCCATCACAGGCAAGCTGGCCCCCTTCAGAAGAACAAGCAAGACAAATTGCTCAGCACCCTCCAATCACCACACATTAAGCACCCACATAAGAAAAAGGTCAAATTTCTCTCTCATTGCTGCTGGTGCTAGGGTACAAAAACACGACAAAGTAATCCTGGGAGCCTACACAGCAGTTACAAATTTATTGAAAAAGAAAGCGATCCACAACATTCAATAGACCACAACCAGAATCCTCTTCACAGCATGGGCTCAGTGCAGGTGCTGCATCTGCCACCAGCCCCATTCTGTTTTCTGGATTTACTAAATCTACTGCCCATGGCAGGCTTAGATCAGAGACGCTGCAGTGGCGAGGCACGAAGCCCACGAACACAGCAAACAAACTCTCCCAAGTAGAAAGAGCGCTGGAATGGGAAATGGGGGTTGGGTTGATACAGTTATGCAATTCTTGTAGCGTTCTGCCCAGTCCAAATAATGCTGTTAAAATTCTCTGAAGCGCAGGGAAAACAAAACAAACTTACATCTTCTGATTTGAAGACTTCAGCCCTTTCCACATATACCAGCTGGCAAACATCCTCCTCTATAGAGTTGAACTGCCGGCCGTTGCATGCCATATAAAAGCTATCTGCATCAGCCTATGCACAAAACAAAGGAAGCCAGTTAAAAAGAGAAAACTCGCAGCTGATACAACCGAGGAAGAGGAGGAGAAATCTGCTGTATCCTCTCTTCTCCCCTCCACCAAGCCCTGTAATAGCAAAGGAGATATTTCGGACAGTCAGCTCCTGCCAGCAGGCATCGCATCTTGGCACTGGGTTTAGCATTACCACTTGAAGACAAGAAGTGAAGTTCACAGCAGTGACAGCTACTCTGATATTTGAGCATTCAGCA